AGTCTGGGAAAACATGATCTGCATGCCAAGGGAAAGACTTCATGACTTACTGATGAAGGGAGAGGCAGAGGCATTTGCCGAAAGGGACAGAAGACTGTGAAAGAAAATCTTTTGACGTACCTTGTCGGTGTAGACGAAGAAGAGAATCACGACCATGAGCTCCAGCACAAATATAATTAACAGCATGATAAAAAACTGTCAAGAAAAGAGGGAGTGGGAGAGAAACAAAAGTCCAGAAACATCAAAATCTGGTTTGTCTTCCTGACACTGAGCAACACATAAATCCATATACAAAAGTACTGGGCTCATGCCTAGCTCTGCTTGGGGAGAAAAACTTGTATCTGGCTAGTACCATTTTAAATGCAAGTGGAGGATCCACTTTTTGGATGTTCCTCCACACAGGAAAACTAGCATGTCAAACAGAAGGGTTGAATACAGCTTTTCTTCTTGCCACACCATATCCTAAGTGGAGAGAACACTTTTAAAAATAGCGTTCAGTGATTTGATCCTCATCTATAGACTGAAACAGGACACCTAGACCAGTGAGAACAAGGATGAGGTCATCTAGATGCAGACCAACATTCCCCTATCCAGTGGGCTTCCTTCAGATGTGCAAGGACTATAATCCCCAGAGTTCCCAGCAAGCATGGCAGTCATACTGATTGGGAATCCTGAGAATTGTAGCCTCTCAATATCTGAAGGGCACCAGATTGGTGAAGTCTTATATTTACATAAGCTCAATGCCAGCTGTTTGAAGTTGTATGAAAAGAGACCATACAATTGAGGACGAACAAGGATCCAAAGTCACAATGGACCTGCTAGCACAAAAGTTAAGGCAGTTAGTTCCAGCAAGAACGCAATTAGGCCATTTGTGGCATTTACATCAGTAGCATCCTTGACTAAGGCTACTGCATTTTCCAAATTCACAGGGGCACTTGACCATCTTGCTTTACAGCAGTGTTTCTCAACCTTGGCAACTTTCAGAGGTGTGGACTTCAACTCCCAGAATTCCCCAGCCAGTTTGGGGAATTCTGGGAATTGAAGTCCACACCTCTGAAAGCTGCCAAGATTGAAAAACACTGCTTTAAAGACAGGCAGGTGTTCCTTTATGCATATACACATCTGCTACACCTTTCCCAACCCCCAATATATGGCTTTAGGGGGAAAAAATAAATGTCTTAAACTTCTAAGATAACAATATGCAGCCAAAGACATGTGATAAAAACTCCCCAAAACACTAAAAACATAAGATAGTTTAAAATATGCATCCAATATTGAAATAAGCCTAAAACTATAATGATAATGAATCTAGAGACAAAATCAGTTATTAAAAACTAGCTGTGTGTATCGTTCTGCTGATTTATTTTGTTTTGCATTTTTTTGGTAATGAAAAACAGTCTCAGATGACTTTGAGCTGAACAGATGAGCCAAGTATTTTTCTACCCCAAAAGAATTTCCTTTATTTATTGAATTTATATTCCTCCTTTCCACTAACAGTTCTGCAACACACGTAATACTGTCCCTTCCAGCCATTTTTCTGCTTAAATCACTATACATGTTGTTCTTTTTCCCCTCCAGGGAAGAAGGTATTTCAAGGAAACAGCTGCAGAATGGTGCTTAGTGGCAAAATAGATTAAGAAAGAATTAAGCACCCTTGCTTTGGCTTTATCCTCCACTCAAGTCTGTAGAATGTCAGGCTTCGGATTTTTTTAAAAAGAAGTCAGCATAAAGATACAAACAACTGTATCTAGGAATGGGGAGAAAATTGTTTAGATCATTAATGATTAATTAATTCATATTATCCAGGCATATAAATACATAATTCCCAAATCTATATGTTAACCAGAAAACAAGAACACATTGATACTTGCACTGTTCCTAATTTTGGGATACAATTTGCCATTCAAAATTTGCACATAAAAATGTATCTGTTACAGAAAATGAGCACAAAAATGCATTATATTAGAGGAAATCACTTACAAAAATATGAATTTTAGGGAAAAGGTGCATGCAAAAAATGTATACCTTAACAGAAATGTGCATTAAAAGGTGATGAATACAGACACAGGAATAGGACAAAATGAATTTAAGGATGGAAAAAAATGAGAAATGGAGGGGAATTCTATTTGACATCATCTCAAGATTTAGTTTAGCCCTGAAAGAGCTAAAAGGTAAATTCAAAATGATGTGATTTAAAATATTTTCAGAGTCATGGCTTCTGAGCACACTATATGATTTAAAAAGTAAAGATATAAGAAAAAACAGAGTTTTATATCACATAGGGTTTTTTGGTTTTAATAAGTTTTAAGATTCATCTAAGAGAAGATGAAGAGGCTATATTGCCAGTATTTTAGTTTCCTGTAACTGTTGCATGGTCTCCTGGCTTCACAATAATGAACTATGAACATATCCTATCTATATTTTAAAAATCATATGCACCTTGAAATATGTTTAATTGTAGCTTTTCGCTTCTCTACAAGTTCAACAGTGGTACAGAATCTATAGCTTGTCAATTTCTGTTGAACTACAACTCCCAGCAGCCCCAGCCAACAGTGAGTTATGGTAGAAGTTGTAGTTCAGCAACAGATTCCTATCACTGCTCTAAAAGATCCCATGGTGTTGAGCAAAATCTTCCTTCCTGTTTCAAAGACTTTCTGAAAGGCTTTAAAAGTAGAAGCAATCTGGACTATCTCTATGGCGGTATAGCCAAAACTGACTTCCAAAATAAAAGGCAGCATAAGTTTAAACAGCAGTGATAGTAGATGGTGACGAGCTAGAACAGAACAGGACATCCCAGATGCTGATGGGGACAAACGGTTCTGCAAATGTGACATCTGTAGTTCACCAGTTGCCTATTTGCTTCTAGATTCCATTTAAAGAAGTATTGAGTTTGGTTTTCACTTTGAAGGGTTAAGCCTAACCCTTTTGCGTTTTAAAGACCAACAACCATTACTTAGAACAGAGCTTAGGTGCACTGCTCCTTGTGTTTATTTCAGTATGCCCTTGGTTAAGAAAATGGATTTTTGCCATTCATGTTCAGGCTGTTAACAGCTTTTACCAATTCATTTGGCTTGAATATGATTGCTTAATGCTTTAAATGTTTAATAGTAAGTGCAGAGTTGGGCTTTTCTAAAAAGATCTGCATTATTTTTTAATGTAAAGATGGCCGGGGGCAATATCTATATGTCTGCCCGTCTGACAGTTTGTAGAAATCCCTTCCTTACCAGGGGCAGTCTGGATTGGTTTCTCTGTCCATCACCTGCCCCCCGCTCTCCTTCTCAAAAAGTGGATTAGTCTGTAAGATGGCAACTGCCACAAGACCACCCAGTCAGTGTCATGAATGAGCGCTGACCTGAACCTGGATCGCCCTGCTTTGATACCAACACCAAACCCCGCACCGTTCTGGCTCCCACTATTTTGCATGCAGTGTGTGTGATACGTAAATAGACTTTCTCTCTCCTCTTCCTCCTCCTCCCCCTCCCTCTCATAGATTTGTTTGCTAAAATTATACTGAAAATATAATGCATAGAATAGCTAAATCCATCACAATAGGATATATGGAATAAGGAAACAGCATGGGAAAATGACTTTTTGTTATTTAGAGCTTTAATTTCTCCCTTAGGCAACTCAAGTAATACATGGGTAACAAAATGGATAGATTATCTTCCCTTGCATTCAGCAACAGAGGAAGTTGTGAGCAAAGGTGAGTTAATCAGATTCTTAATTTAGCCACTTGCTTTAAAGAATCTGAAGCAATTTCATATTTGGTTCTCCCTTACTCCTGCTCATCCTGTATATCCCATACCCTACCCTCAGCCCACCACAATTCTACACTTTCTTCAGCCACCTCTCTAGTCTTTTTGCTTGTTCTGTAGGGAGCCACTTTTGCTAAGCAAGCCACTTTATTTCCATAAAAATAATATTGGAATGGATCCATTGGAAAGAAAAGATCTACTATCTTTCTGAAGGCCTCACTTAACTACAATTCTGCACTGAAGTATCTTTTTTCCAGTTCAGCTAACACACTAGGAACCTGCTTCCCTGAACCCACCAAGACTAAGCCAAGAAGCTGATTGCTTGTCTTCACCTGTCCTGACTAGCCAGGACTTGATCGGGTTTAACCAGATGGACTTGCCTTAGATCTGATTTACAATAGCATGCTTCAATCTGCATTATTTTAATTGGATCCATTCAACACAGGCTACTTCATCCTTCACCAACCAAGATGCATTATTAATTTGCAGTCTGATTCTTCGTGCTTATTGGGAAGCAACTTCCCCTGATTTCAGTGAAATTACACCTCAGTTTGAAACACTGGAATTTTTCTGGGGAGGGTGAGAAGCTGCAGTGGAGAATGTGTTTGTAAGTTGTATACTCAGAGAATGCTGCACAACACACGTGCACATTCTTTCCTTGCATGGTGCTCTTGGATAGTTTTGCAAACACCATCATTTTCCTTCTAAGTTTTAGAACTTCATATGATTTATTAGGGAAAGGATCTGGTGCTTTAGAATTGTGCATACAGAATATGCCCCTTGTCCATCTAGTTCAATATCGTTCTCATTGGCTGCCAGTAGCTCTCCCAGGCTTCAGAATAGAAACTGTCCAAGTCAGACATGGAGATGCTCAGGATGAAATCAGGGTCTTTCTGCATGCAAAGCTGTGGCAGGAGGGAGAAATTGGTCTGCTTGATTCCTTTATAGTTCCTTTGTGTCCACATTTTTGATCAGCCATGTTTTCAGCACTAACACAACTATTGACAGAAAACTGCAAATATGGCCCAAAATATATTTTTTTATTGCAGATATTTACATTGTTTATTAAGCTGGCTGACAACTAGCTTATAGATTCAACTGTGCTAGTGGCTACAGGGGACAAAATACAATCAACTGCATATGAAATTTTCTCCCAGATGCATAAATTGATAGAACTAAAGTCAATCCAGCAGTGGCTAATCTCTTTATTTAACAGATTCACAGTATATTTGATTGTATCTATTAAAATTTTACATCCTATTCCTAATATAATAACAATATAACTCCTTGTATTTAGGAAGCTAGAATTGCTGTTGATGAGCAAAGGAAAGGAATGGGGAGGGGAGTTAATAAGAGACCAATATTCATAAGCTTGGAGCAATACTCTAAAAATTGGGAATAAAAAAAACAAACTATAAACACATTTATCTGAAA